TTTAAAATTATTTATTAAAATAACATAATTTTAAAATATTTTCTTAACTTTTTATAAATACAATTAATATTTAGTTTTTTTATATTATTTTATCTAACAAAAAATATCTTTATAATACTTTGTGTGGTGATTTAGTTGTTCTCACTTTTAACAATATATTAGAGTTAGTATTTTTTTTTGAACATTTTGACATGGATAAGAAAGGAAATACACCTATTTAATGATCAATGTTATTGGACTTATAGTGCCAATGGTATTAGAGTTAGTATTTCAATTTTACTCTTCATGATAAAAATGAATTAAGATTTTTGTTTTACAAAATACTCACTTTTTGGTAGTAAATTTTTTTGGGTGGAGAATTTTTTATTCAAAAAAATAGAAAACCATTTTCAATTATTAGCGATAGGAGGCGAAATTATATAGACTATCTATAATTTTAAGAATTGACAAAAATTTTTTATTTAGATTATACAATAAAAAAATAATTATTTTTTATCTTTTATTTCATTTTATTTACATATTTAACAATTCAAACTTAAAATATTTTATTTTTAATAAAAATAAATTACCATTGAATTATTTTTATCAACTAGTAAAAATTGATAAATTTTATTCATCGCAGGAATAAACGTAAAAATCATTATTCTAAAAGTGACTATTAATTTTACACCACCTCATTATTAGTTATCCTCAAAAGTCAAAAGCTGTTTCTTTCTAGGAAAATTCATTTTAGGCATTTCAAGATCTGCGCCATAACATCCAGGTAATTAAGGGGACTGCTGATCCAAATACAGTATCTTATGATCAGAATTGTTGCAATTAGAGTAAGTTCTACTGCCTAAAGAATCTTGCCAGTCCTCTGTTTTTCAACCTTCTCTTGAGGACCAAAAGAGCGGGACCAAGCAGTGGCCAAGTTGTTGCGATGGCAATATATGCAAGCAGCCAGATTGATTGCCTACTCTGTCGGGCAAGCTGATCAATGCGTCTTCCAATAGGAACAATCATATCCTCTGTACTTTGTTCTGGTTGCTGCATGAGGTCATTCTCCAAGGGTGTTTTGTGTTCGGAGCCATGTCTTGTTCCTTCATCAAAAACAGTGTCTTCATCCTTTCCATGCTGAACTAAATGCTCAGTATCAATGTCTTCTTGTGCGGTGTCTCTTGGTTCATTGCCTGCTGTGGTCACCATTGCATCTTCCTTGACGGTCATAAAAGGCTCCTGATCGATTAATGATTCCATTACGGGCAAGGTAGAAGAACTTTGCTCCTGCAACGTGACATTAAAGCCATATAACTTGTTAGAAACTGATGCTTAACCGAACATTCTGTTCTGATTTATTAATTATGCTTGCATGTCAAAATTGTCGATTTAAGTCTGTGAAAGGATACAGTTCCTCTTTAAGAACACAACACTCGTGGGCGACAAAAATTCCTGCCTCAAGATATATGATACCAACAAATTGACTAAGGACAGTCAGATTTCTTTCTAAACACTTTTGAGAGGCATAGCTTGGTTCAGTGGTATGAATATTGAGCTGGGAACCAATAAAGAGCATGGTTGGGTGATTGGAGCAGCCACTTTACACAATTAAGATAAGGCCGGATAATAATACTCAGCAAGTGCATGTCCTGTTTGATAGGATCAACATTGCAGGATGCTCGTTTCATGCCTTACAAGAATTGGTTTTAAGAGACGATTTGCTTAACAAACTTTAAGAACATTTAGTTACTAGAAATTTATGAGAATCTTCTTAATTGGTCTACTGACATGACCTGTGCATGTGTGCTTTTGTGTGAATGTCTGCATGTCAGTTACAAACTGGTACTGAATTGTTTCTCACCTTGTTTCTCCTGTTCATAACTGGGCTAGAAAGAAGAACACTGAAGAATTCATCAACAGCTCTCACCCACCTGCAGGCACATGAATAGAACAAGCCAGAAGAAATCAGGCATGAATGGACTTCACGTCATAATACATAATAAGTATTGCAGGGCTTGCAATGTAGTTTATCAATGTATCTGCAAAATAAAATGGTGCACTGTCCAATCAAGCAGAAACCTTATTATGAGTCTCTTGCGACAGTACAGTAAGAAAATAACCAAAATATATACTTACACACAAGATATACATTTATATAATTAACATATATAAATTATAGTGCCAAAAATGAGAGAAAACATAGATTACCACACACTCGCTGCAGTCAGCCCTTCGTAGAAACCAAGATGTCCCCCATGTGTTGTAGTAGCTAGGATGATGTTCTTATTTGCCCTACAAATGAATCAATGAGAATCAGAATATTGTTAGGAAATTACCTTGATATTATTAACTTCACAACCCACAAGAATATTATCGTTACTTCACCAACTTTGTTCAATAGATCAAAGTATTAATGTTAGGCCATCAAAGATATTCTGCCCATAATTGTTGTTCATCAATGTCACTCTGCCAGATGGATGTTCATAAAGGAAATCAAGATGTGACTGAAATTTTGACTGTTAGAAACAGTAAAAGCAAGCCCCTTTTTTGGTACCTAATAAATAGGAGCTCACGTATATAACATAGTAGTTCAAGCTTAAACACATAGCATCTTCTAATAGACATGGCAAGTATAACATGTTTAGATAGGATATTATTATTAAGTAATTTTGTTTTTTAAATGTAATTCTATCTAGGTCATAGGCATTCAACGCATTTGTATGCACAAACAATATAAGCCAAGCTTTAAAAGAGAAGCAGGTGCTCCAGCAAACTAAGATCATTTCCCACCTACATTCATCCCATGGAATAGCTTCCCTTGTGGCCACAGGATCATCCAAAGCACTGATGCAAAGGAGAGGCACTGATACATTTTGCACATAGGGAACACTACTTGCACGCCTATAATATGTATCTACAGTCTGGAAAAGTAGAAAATATTTTATACTTTTGCACCAAAACAAGATAATATTTTTAGTAATAGAAGCAGGAAAACGAGAAGCAGATAATGATGCTGACCTCACATTTAGCAAGAATGCGGGTGGAATGGTTGTCAAATTCCCGAACAGAGTTTGACTGTGAAAGCAAAATGCAAACAAACCAGTAGATTAGTATTTGGAGAAAAAGAAAGATAGACATAAAAGATATACATCAAAATATCCATTTGAAAAGATTATCAATTTTTTCTCCTGTCTTAAGATGTCAAACATATAGTCAAAACAATAAGTATTTCTTTGTTTGTTGTGGATTTTGTTAACTAACATAAAGGATGCTGGAAAAATGTAATAGCTATGAGTTCTGAAAATACTCTATTTTATCTGGACAAGATGTGGGAGTTACTCATTTTGCCAATGACCACAATAAACTAGCAGAATGGAGCCACAGTCATCTCAATATCTAAATAAACACTAGTCTTCCCAAACAACCAATTTAGAAAAACTACTTATTTGAAGGAAGATAGGGGCATTGCGTAGTCAATCAAACACCAACTCAAACATACAGCAGTCTGCAATAGTCAAGAAGAGTTTTTATTCAAACATGCCAGATATGATGAAATACGATTAGTGCAAATGTTTATAGTATCAGACATGGATTCTCCAATTTGTACGGGTCATCAAAATCCAAAGTTCAGTAGGGTAATATCATGCTTAGTTTTTGCTACTGATGGTCAGATATGAGTTGGCTACTAAGACAGTGTGCTATTTATGGTTTAAAACCTGTAAAATCAGCACTCAAATAGAGTGGTAATTTTGCTCCTCTTAGTATTATTCCAGGAAAATATGCTTCTCCTATGGTGATCTGTCTAGCCATTTGGAGATCAAAAAATTTCAGTAATCTATAAAATAACTGAAGAGAAACCTTTTGAAGGCCTTCCCAATCTACAAAGCAAGACATGATTGACTGATGCCTGCATAAAAAACAGAGCGACTGCATGAGAAGAAACTTTAAAATAGTAAATTGCAGTTGAAAAGTATAGTCAGATGCGATAAAGTGCATTTCCTGAAGGTTTTTGTTCTATAGATTCATTATCCCTACATAAAAGTCAAATGTTAAAAAAGACTTGGTAATTTAAAGCAGACGTACAATTGTGCATAACCTTGTAGGCCAACCGTCAAAATTCTGTTATAAACCTTCTGCACAAGCTTGCGGTTAAGGAACCTGTCACATATCTGCAAGTAAGAAAATGAGCAGAAGCAGAAGAAGAGACATTCACACGGTGGGGTAACTATCATCAACAATCATGGTGTTTGCAGCAGATGGTGTTCACACATCTAACTCACTGAGAAATTTTAAAAAATGGTTAAACTACATAGATAGAAAAATACTAACCAAAAGGTCCCAGGGAGAGCAGACAGCAGCAGCTCCAACAAGAGGAACATTAGCCCCATCTTCTCCAAGATATTTTACCTGGAAGTCAGACCAATCACAGTAGGGAGATCACCTGTTATGATTTGAACTTCTTTTGGAGGCCAACACTGTATAAAAACTCTTAGAAAACAGATCGACAAGCACAAGTGCATGGAAAGAATTTTTTACACAGGATAGCCCACTATCAAAAAAGAAAGTTAAATTCCAATAAACTAAATTGACCTGAAAAGGCTGAGGTTCTATCTGCTTTAATATTTTACAGAAAAAATTACACATTTGTATCAAGACAAATGTGAAGGAGATTCTTAAGTGATATTAAAAAGTTGGGTTCCGATTCATCCTCCAAACAGGAAACTGAAATCAAACAAGTTTTAAATAGATATATCTTTTACTTAAACCTGATAGGATGTTACTTAGAAAGAGGGGTTCCAATTAATCCAATTATTTTGGCAGCAGCATATAGAAGCATGTATGTATTCTAATCAGAATTCATGTCAACCACATTGCCATAACTAAAATGGAGACAGAAACATTGTTTACTAGAAGTTCTCTGAAACAACATCCAGGTCCTAGTAACTGACAGTATTCATTATGACCATAGGCATCAGTATGAAATTCATGGAAAAAAATTATCTACCAGAATGTTGGCACCAAGGCTTGTTCCAACAGCAAATATAGGAGCTTCTGGATGTTGACAATGTATATGTTCAACAACTTTCCGTATATCTTCTGTCCATCCACCATTATAAAAGCAACCAGACTGACCATAAAAGTTAACAATTAAGACACAGATTTGAACTAATGTAATATACAGACATGCATTTTGATGTAGGATAATATGAATTAATGTGCAATGATTAAAGAATGTGCATTGTTTAACGTACAATGATAAATTTTACCATATTTAGTATGAAATGAGACCATCCTAATCCAAATGGCTTACTGTGAAATCATGTTGGCAATTCAAAAACCTAGTTCATGGTAATAGCACAATCATTTACAATTAAACTTTTTCTATAATGGTTTGAAAGTCTGCTTAAAATTCAGCCCCTACATTACTAAATATTCAACTAGTTAGTCATAATTTCCAAATGCCCAAGCAAGATGAACATTGATAACCTTCCTGCCATGAGAACTGTAAGACTGCTCTTTATATATGCTGCATGCAGCTGCAAAGATATACTGCCATAAGTTCTTTGGCTAGTGTCAACTTATTTGTGATGCTTGTGGATGATTTCTCTAATGCTGCACCTAATTAAACAGAAGAATTTTTTTCTGAGTAACAAAACAAAATGCTTTGTTACACAATTTTATCCCAGAATTAATAGAAAAATAATATTTTTCATCTCTAATTTATGATTTAGCCAGAAAAATCTCTAATTTATGAGTATTTTATACTAAAGTGCTAAGACTCCTTGAATGAAAATGGATTGCAGGAGGAAAAAAAGCTTTTCATATAATGAACGCTCAATCCATTAACATAAACATTTCTAAGAAACTTACAGTTATTGATACACCTCCAAGTCCACGATGATTACTCACAACAACATCCCAACCCCGTCTTGCCATCCTGAACGCTAGATGCTTGACATACTGTCCACACAGCCCAGCTTCTATAAGTCTTTAAAAACACAGGGGTGATGGTGGCTAAAAGACAGAAATTGTATGGACATACAAGAAACAATCAAAAACAATTAAAATGGGTTGTAAGGACACAATGTAAAGCTTATGTGCTCAATTTTATTAAGCATGTTGATACTTGATGGGTAAACTCAATAATTCATCAAAAGTCAATAGCAACTCTTTTCAATCAATTCTTATAAGGAAAATTTTTTTGAGGAAAATGTGAAAGAAAATTAAAAAAAAAAAAAGGATGAACGTACAGAAGAAGCAGAATCACTAGTTAAGCCAGGGATCACAATCAAAACTGGAGTCCTATCATCTTTTAGAGCAGCATCAGTCATTTGGGAGGCACCATCCACAACTGTAAGTTAAAGATGCAAAATGGTGAAAATCAAGAAGAATGTAAATCTTCAGAGGTATTTTCCCAACATTTATAAATGTAAGAACCAAATAATCTGTTAAAACGCCAGGTGGGGTTGACAAGTTTATGGTCCATCGATTTTTCCATCAGAATTTAGATTAAATACCAAGGGGTGACAGGTTATTAGGCATAACCAATCACACTTTATAGAAAATATTCAGAATTTAAAGGATACTAACTACTAACCATCTGAATGTAACAGCCAGTCCAAAGCAATTGTTCCACCATCAGGCGTACAGAAGAGATGTCTGAGCACAAAATATATGGAAAGAAGAAACCAGTTTTTGTACATCCCATAAAACTCATTACAAAAACACATAGAACTTATAAAAAGGCCATGGTATAGGATTCATAAATAAACAGATAAATGGGAAAATTAAAAACCAAGAAGAAAGAACTCAAAGAAGCGTGAAGCTACCGTCTGTAGGTAACTTGAGGAGCTCTCCCAAAAAAGCTAAGGAAAGCAGTCTGGAGATGAGGACTAGAAATCCATGGAGTAGGACAGTACCTGCGAATTTTAACCGCAAAAAGAAGAGTGAAAAGTCGAATTTAGTCAAATTAACTAATTGCACAGTAGTGTCGATTTGAGTGAGTTGACCTTCCATGGAGGAGCCGACACTTTGCGGCCACTAACTGGTAAAGATCGGAGCAGGAATTGTAGGTCAACACCACCGGATCGCCTTTAAATCCGGTGAGCAAATCATGAAGGAAATGAATCTCCAAGAAATTGTACAGAAAAGTGAGAAACATCAAGAATGCCGCTAAGAAATAGTGAGAGAACGGAATTAAGGAGAGCGCATGAAAAAGATGATCATAAGGTGAGACGAAAGCCCCCGCCGTAGCCGCCGCCGAAGTTCGGCAATCCATCGGAGCGCAACTGAAATTTTGAAAGTCGACGCCCAGAGGAATGCCTGGATATGGCGGGGAGACGAGAATCGTGGTGAAAAAAGTAGAGAGAGTTGACCATTTTAAATTATTATTATTATTATTATTATTATTTATGAATTCTCAATAGAAATATAAACTCCAAAATTACTTCACCACTGGTTGGACGTGCCTTACAAAATTATTGGCTTGCTCAAGGATTTTATTAACCATGGTACAAAAATTTATAAGAAAAAATGTAATCAATAAAAATTGTAATCGAATATATAATATAAGAAAATTATTTTACAAGATGAATTATATGTAATTATTTTATAAAATTATTTAAATAATTTTATTTTTATTTTTATATTATTTTTTAAATATATTTAAATAATTTTACAAAATAAATTACATATAATTCATCATATAAAATAATTTTTAAATATAATATATCCTATTGGTTTTTTGATGTTTAAGAAACGAATGAAAGTTTTTTAGTAGAATAATGATTGCTTCCTACGTAAGAATTTTTGTCATACTCGAGATGGAATGATTCCTATTTCTCTTCTTAAAAAATGCAACTTTATTAAAATAAAATAAAATGAATATTACCTTATTTAAAATAATTTTCTTCCAATATTTTTGGTGAAAAATACATTTTATGGTTATATGACAATATAACTAATTATATCACATTATAATGCGATTATAATTCTTATTAATTTAAAAGTCTTACTTTTCAAACTAAGTTTTTGACAAATATATCCTAGCTTTTCAAATTCTTTCTTCAAAAGAAACTCAAAATCAAACAGGCAGTTAATAACAGAGCACTTTTAGTTTTATTTTTTCCAAGTTAGCTGTCGATGGATGACCAAACTAATATTTCATTGGTTTGGTCAAAGCAGTTTTATTGGTCTAATCAAACAAAAGTTATCATCCACTTCAAAATTATAAAATTGAAGAATTATAAATAGTAATTTATTGGTTTAAGTAGTAAGTATTCAATTTTTATTAGATAAAGTTTTAAATTTAAAAATTTAATGTGATTTAATTTTAAATTAGTTTAAATTTAATATAGTTTTTAAATATAAAAAATTAGTAAAAAAATAATAAAAAAAAATTAAAGAAGAATATCGCCCCCAAAAATGTAACTTAATTCAATAAGTTGGGAAGCATCCTTACCATTTATTTATTTATTCATATATTTATTTACAATAGCTGGGAATAGAAAACATTGCAGAGGGAGAGTTATCTTACAACTACCGCGAGAATTTTTTTCTTGACGGAAAGCAGAGCAAATTACCATACATATAAGCATGATTCAGGGACCTGGGGAGATGACAACAAAAACATCATCGACAGACCATTTTCTTTGTTCTAATTTATTTGGGGGATTAATTATGGCATGATAGTTGTTTGCAAGGCGATAGCCAATAACAATCTCTTGTCTCTGGCGACCCCGGACCATTATATCATAGAAACAAAGCTCTTCCTTGTCAAATAGGTAGAATTCTGCTGGTTTGATACACATATCATTTCCCTGCAGATAGGATTGAGTTTAATTCCAACTCTGAAGCTGAAAGCAATAATAGAAACAAAAGAGGAGGAGGAAACATTTTTTTGAGGATGGGGGTACAGGGTTATGAACTATGAAAGGTACCTGCTCTGCAAAAAGTTCTTCGAGAACTACGTTAATATGCTTGTTTTCAGCCACCATTGCTAAAATCGTACTTATCAACTCATTTGATAGAACGTAGTCACTAATTCTGGAGATGGATTCCAGGTTTCTTGTCAAAGGATCCAGAATTTCACTGATGATTGTTGATTTGTCTGAAGCTTGCTGCATTTCCTGAATCCAAGAACCTTGAGAGAATCCAGAGGGCTGTAAAGAAGTTGACTTAGTATATTTGTAAGGGAGACGTTTTGCCTGCAATAAAATTCAGCCACTGTCAGAAATTTGAGATACAAGGTATATAATTCTGCTTCCAGAACTTTTTGATGCAGATGATTTTGGGCATAAGGCATTGGCAATCAAGGGTGTCGATTTGCTAAGCCATATGAAATTACACATAATCTCCCTAGGATTTACCTGTATATCTCGAACATGGAGGAGGGTGGCAAGAGAACTTGTGTCAGACTGCACAGCAGAACCCTTCACTGGATCATCCGCAAAAATTATTATCTGTCCGTTTAGACTTAGGAATCAGTGATCAGTAACCAGTGAAGGAGGACAAAGTCAGCAGCTGCTGAGGCATCTATGTTTGCGTGTGCGGGTGCGTGGGTTGGTGGGAGTGTGTGAGTGTGTGAGTGTGCGTGTGTGAGAGAAAGAGAGAAAGAAACTCACAGAATCAAAAGTCTCCAGAGGAAGACTCTCTAAATGCCGCCTGATGATAGCATTTCCCACACGATGGACAAGTTTTATGTTGGCTAATCCAGAAATTTCTAGTCCACCATCAATCAGCTTCTTCTCTCTTTCTTTTTCTGAAACCTCATTAAACATCCACAGCTCTGAACCTGGTGCCAAGCATGCCTCTAGCATCTGAAAGCAGAAATATGAATCATCAATAAGCAGGAGATCAACAGTGAAGGAGTGTCTGGAAATTCAATCTCTCATCTCTTGAAGTCTATTTCTAATGTATTTAAACAAAAGTTCAGTTCAACAGTAAAAAAGAAAAATGTCAGGAATTGTGTGAGATCATGAGTGTCTAACCATTATCATACCATCAATAGCATGGTGCCATCCACAGAATAGTATTCTCTGTGGATATTTTGGAGGATTAGTGAAATTTGGGCAAAGACCCCCACAAACCTGCACGTAGAAATTAGAATACAGCATAAATTTTACAAAGAAGGAAAAGCTGAAAAACCACCAATGTCTCAACTTTTAATAATCCTACTACTTAATATACTTTCATGCTACAAAGATAAAGAAAAGAAAGATGACCTTTGGAAAGGGACCTGGAGCATAAGTGTCATCATCCTCGGCTATGACAAGGATTTCATCCCCTTCTCTTAATGCATAATCATCATCTGGATTTAAGATTATCTTACAGCCAGAAACCTTAATTCCACAAGGAACTGCATCCGGGAATGAAATAAGCACATCTCCGAAACGCCGACCTTCCAATTGTGGCCATCTTTTGAAGTAAAACCCACAATTCTCAAACCCCAAAATATCTTCCCATATCTGAACACACAAAAAAGAGAGAAATCAACATTGAAATCAAGTCTATGTGGATGTCCAAAAGCTAGAGGTATGCAAAGTAAGGATTCTCTCCAAGAAAAGAATGAACAATTTTTGCCAAGAAGTTCACAACTGCATTCGGCCAATTTAACTAACCTGGGCAAGGCCAGGTTGCAAGGCGCACTGAATCATCAAGCGCCCAATCACATCATGTGCAACAACTGTTTCAACAAGTTCTCTTCCAACAAGCCTCACCAGGGGCTCATTGTCAAGGTCACTCATCTCTACCACAACATGACCCCCCAGCCCTTCTTTTACTTCGTTTAGGGTGAGTACAATCATCAAGGCACGTGCATCACTCTACGAACAGGAATTGAGAATAATTAAGGTTTCACAACAAAAAAAGACAAGTTACGACAAGCATGAGCACACTACTGAAAGATTTAACAACCTGATATCCATTTTCACCCGATGCTAATACGATAACAGCACGAGCCTTTGATACTGAAACCTGTAAATTAGAACCAAAGTCAATCCAACTGAATGCTTTTAAAGCATGTCAGGCATCAGGCAAAACTTGAAAGAACATCGACGACGCCTACTTACCCTCTTTAGATCAGCAAGTGTTAGAGGACTGCCACTCCTGCATATAACAGATGTCCCCATGAAGTCAAATTCTAGCTTTGCAATGTCCATCTCCATTTCCTCCTCGTCTCTTTCAGCAAGTACAACTACCACACCACCACCAGCACTTTTCCCGGCCATTGCTAGTTGCTTTAACAGTGAACCCTACAACATAAAATCATGTCCAGTTTTCTGTCTTTAAAACTCTTCACTTTACCTTTGACCTCTAACAACAGTCAGAGTAAATTCATTGTAATCAGCATGTCAGAGACAGATGATTACCAATTTTTCACTCCATCCAAGAATTAGTATATGGTTCTTTTGGATGTCTTTACTCTTCCCGTTAGACAATGAATCAACCTCCTCGGATATGACATTTCTCACTTCCCCCTGCTTGCCATGCAGGCCCGTTGTGGATTCTTCAGCCTTGCTGCTACCAATCCCCATTGCATTCTCAGAATACCCAGAACAGAAATCTCAGAAATAAGCAGCTGGAAACAGAAATTTGAATTGTAGGAGAAGAAAAATGAAAGAAGCTTCGGCTCGAAAGGATTAGATAACTAACAAAAAAAAATATATTAATACACCAAACAAATTTAATTATTTATCAAATGTGAAGTCAATTGCAATTATTTCGGGACGGATCAAATTTTTAAAATTAATGTTTTTTTAAAAAGTGTGCTAAAGAAAAGAATGAGAACTTGTAGACGAAGTTTCCCCTACAATTTCTATAAGCGAATTAAAAAAAGGGAAAGAAACTAACGGCTGACTTGCCATCAAGAAAAATACATAAGGACTCAACTCATGACAATGAAAAGTTTAGAAGCTTATTTGGAGGTTTTCCTTTTTTACTTGGGCCTATTGCAATTTGCGAATTGGGCCCGTGCGTAGCTGGCTGGTTCATTAATATTTCTTGGGCGCCCAGCTGGTACGGATACAGACAGAATAATATTATTCCCTGCCGGCCGCCGGCCTGATATACGAATTACCCATAGGCCAAAGCGTTCCGGAGCAAGCCTGGTCGCTCATCGGCTTAAGCAGAGCCGGAGCTCTGTGGGCGCGAAGGTCAAGTGGGTTCGTGACCCATACCTAGACCACTCAGTTATAAGAGAGGAGGACTCAAAACAGATCCTTTCCTTCAAAAACCAAACCCCACCTCCCATACCTCTGCCAACTCCGCCGGAAATACCCATCCTTTTTCTCACAATTCCAGCCCTCTCCCTCCCTCCCTCCCTCCCTCCCTCTCCAAGTCAAGCTCACCCCTCAAGCCATGACCCTCCACAAAGAAGTATTTGCAAGCCACAGCTTGACGTCTCACGGGAATGACGCCGTCATGAGGCTGGTAAAGTTTTTGATGTTCACTAGAGCACCAAGACTGCCCCTTAATGTTATTGACAGTTTCAAGTTTGATCTGGGTCTTCCTCATAATTACATTACATTACTAACCCAACATGACCCCCCAGTCCCTTTACTTCAGTTAGGGTGAGTACAACTCTCAAGGCACGTGCATCACTCTAGGAACTGGAACAGAGAGTAATCAAGGTTTCACAACAAAAAATTTAAGTTACCAAGAAGTATGAGCATACTGAAAGATTTAACAACCTGATATGGATTTTCATCAGATGCTAATACAATAATAGCACAGCCTAATTTGATATTGAAACCTGTAAATTAGAACCAAAATCAATCCAACTGAATGCTCTTAAAGGCATGTCAGACATCCTGGCAAAACCTACTTACCTTTTTTAGATCAGCAAGTGTTAAGAGGACTGCCATTCCTGCATATAACAGATGTCCCCATAACGTCAAATTCTAGCTTTGCAATGTCCATCTCCATTCCCTCGTCGTCTCTTTCAGCAAGTACGACTACCACACCACCACCAGCACTTATTCCGGCCATTGCTAGTAGCTTTAACAGTGAACCCTGCAATATAAAATCATGTCTAATTTCTAGCTTAAAACTCTTCACTTTACCTTTGACCTCTAAGTCTCTAACAAATAGTCGATCGTAGAATTAGTACATGGTTCTTTTCGATGTCTTTACTCTTCCCGTTAGACAGTGGATCAATCTATCCTCGGAGATGTGACATTTCTCACTTCCTCCTGCTTGCCTTGCAGGCTCATTGTGGATTCTTCAGCCTTGCTACTACAACTCCCCATTGCTTTCTCATAATTGTTGGAAGAGTCAAATGGGCCGGCTCAAATGTACACATGAGAAAACAGTCATATATGAAAAGATATCATATTAAACCCAAAAAACACGTTTGTTGTGTTCAAGTTCATTGGCCTTTCATATATATATATATATATATACACATATAAGGGGGAAGTGGACGTCAATCACTCAGTCTCACCTCCAGAAAAAAAAAAAAAAAATCCTAACCAAAGGGCGTCATTTTCCTTTCAAAAACTCAATCTTAACGTTCGTCTTTTCTCTCAAAAATCTGGCATTTGCTCCTCGCCTCCTTCGACAATCATCTTCATCTCCTTCTTTGCTCCTTCTGCAATCATCTCCATCGTCTCCTCACCTCCTCGACTCCACCCCTACAAAATACAATAAACCCCACAATATCTCACAGCCAAGAAGATAACAAAAAATGAAAATGAAAATCCAATCTTCTGATTGGAATAATATTGATAAGAGAATAAGAAAAAAATAAAAATATAATCAAAATCTGTATGAAAATAAGAGGAAACGAGCACGATTTAAAATAAATTAACAAATCCAAATTTGGGTTTCCAAAATCTATATGGAAATGAGAGGAAATAAAGAAAGCAACCATGGTTAGACCATTCAAAAACAAACCTATGAAAGAAAATAAATGCTGCAACATCTTTGAAGACAACAAACCCAAGTCTGGGTTTCTTCTATTATAACTAAAATTGCAATTTCAATTCTCATCATTCAATTTCAACATTATTATAACCAAAATCATAGCAACCAAACTTGCAAAACCCAAATAAATTGGTTTGCAACTCCCTCAAGCTCGTGTGACAAAGGAACACAAATCTTGATTTCTTTTGTTCTATGGCACTTCGAGCTCGTTAGGAGGTGTGCTTATGTCTCTTGGCTTCTAATTGCCTCAACCACACATGAGGGAAAAGGGGGAAAGGGAGAGATGGAGATGATTGCAAAGGGGGCGACATTACTAATGGGTTTTTTGAGTGAAAAATTGACAAATCGGAAGAGGCAAGGAGCAAGGGCTGGATCTTTGAGAGAAAAGACGAACGGCAGAGATAGGTTTTTGAGAGGAAAACGAGGCCGTTTGGTTTGGAACTCCAAATTTTTTTTGAGAGGTAAGACTTACGCCCACATTACCCATGTATATATATATATATATATATATATTACACTATAACATCTTATTTCTCTTCAAGTGGGATCTTATACACTTTTATCTATTCATATGAATTTCCTTCCTCGTGAGTGTAATTATTTTGGACCTCAAACCTCATTTGTCCACCGAACCTCACATGTCTACTGAACAACTTCAGATCTTGCTCATCAGCTATGAAGACTTCACTCGTCTTCTAACACTGAAGATATCACATCTTCAATTTTTACCATGGAATCACTATTTTTTTTTTTTTTTTGAAGTATTTTTCATTTGAAAGAATGAAAACAACAAAAATGATTTTTCCTTTAATTACATAGAGTGGACTGATTCTTCCCCTATCATGGAGCGAGAGAGTAAAGGGTGAATTGATTCTCCTCTTACACAGTGGCTCAAGGGCAGGTATGGTTACACCAATTTTTGCGAGATTTAGAACCTCACTATGGCGGTTTTAGCTGAGATCACTACTTAAGTTGGCTAAGCCTAAGATAAGAAGCCTCTAAACAGCTCTTAGGCTAGCAAAACAACCTAAAATATAGAGACAAATGAGAGACTCCACTCTCAAACACACTCACAGTGCTAACTCATATTTTCATAACATGAAACTGTACTTCGCATTACAATTGAAAGAAGAACATATTTATAGGCTAGAAGGCATTAATTGAGAAGTAGAAAATGGTCGGGAGTTGGTTGGATGGTAGCCAATTTTGTTGACTCGGAGGGATTTGGCCTTGATTTGCACCAGCCTATGTTGTAGGCGTATAGTGGTGCTGTTTCCTGCTAGCTGTGCACCACACAGGCAAGTAATGCTCTTTCTAAGCTATTTACAATGACAGACATGGAAGGCCTGTGTCGGCCTTCTCGCGTCACACAATCTGCCGCAATGTACCCTACATGTGCCACTGCTTCTATTTCAAATGGTGTTGGTGGCGGCACCCTCTGGTCCAATACTCTGTGAATTTCATCTTTAAAGATAAATGGCACCACATAATCTACCACATTCCTTGGAACGCCGTTCTCATTCCGGTGAATTGCCTTATACCCTGACAGTAATTCTAGCAATACGACCCCAAAACTGTAGACATCACTCTTCGAGGTTAATAATTGCAACCTGTAGTACTCAGGGTCCATGTAGCCAACCGTGCCCGCTGCGCGAAGTGACAAGGGAGATTCGTCTTCCTTAGGACCCATCAAGGATAGTCCGAAACCGGATACCTTGGCAGTCCATGTGCCATCAAGTAGGATATTTGATGACTTTATATCACGGTGAATGATTGGGGGAACCGCAAACTCGTGTAAGTACTGAATTCCCCTGGCTGCGTCTAGTGCAACCTTGATCCGGGCAACCCATGACATCAATGGCGAGTCATGGAGCTTGTGGAGATGGTCATGGAGGGTGCCGTTACTCATGTACTCGTAAACAAGCACGCGGTTATTGCAGTCTTCGCAGAATCCGAGGAGGCGGATGAGGTTCCTGTGGTGCAGACGCCCCAAAGATTCCAGCTCGTTTAGGAAGGCATGGTCCTTGTCCGCCTGACCCTGTCTCTTGGTACCGCCTGCGTAGGATGAAGTGGCGGACAGCTCAGCTCGCTTGATTGCGACTTCTCGGCCGTCGTCTAGCGTTGAATGGTAGACTGAGTCAAAGCTGCCTGTACCAATTTTGTGTTCCTCTGAAAAATTATTGGTGGCTTGGAGCAAAACCTGTAGGGAGAATTCCTCCAAGTGGGATGTTCCGAATTCTCCGATGCTACTCAATTGGCCTTGATGCGGCATCTCTGCTGCGGCAGAAAATCTTCTACACAGATTTGGCAGATAGATTGACCACTCCTATTCCCCAAAAAAAATGTAAAAGGTCCCAAATAGATACAGTTATCGAAGAAAGACTTCCATGTTCACATGAAAAAATATATTGGATAAAACAAAAAAAAAAAAAAAAGAGGGTTGGAGGGAGACTTACATATTCACGATAGAGAATATGTTAAGAGTATATAATTAACATCTGAATTGATAGAAATGCATAAAATTTTATATTAAAAAAATAAAGTGTTAAAGGAAAATATATATTAGAAATCTATAAACCTAAAAAAGTATATCTTCTAAATTTAATAGGATATTTCCTTAAGTATTTGTACCTTTTCTTGTGTGCTCTCTTGAGCTGAGCTGTTAGACTTTTCTAACAAAAATACCCAGAACAGAAATCTCAAAAATAAGCAGCTGGAAACAGATATTCGAATTGTACAAATGAAACCCTGGATCCCATTGAAAAGAGATTTAAGGGAGAGAAAATGGAAGAAGTGTTGGCTTGAAAAGTTGCGAAACCTTGGAACTTCTGCTCCAGCTTGTCGTTATCCCAAGTCAAGTCTTCTATTTCGGTCCTGTTTGGTAGGGGCATGTGGCAATGTGCAATTTCCTGGCGTTTGCCCAGAAACCACATCTTAAAAAAGGCTTAGACAAATTTTTAGGAAAACGATCATGCCTGGTGCATCTAATTCCTTCAATACAATATTTTTTTGGCCGAATCCTTCAATACAATCTTGATAATGTAAAATTTTGAAAATTTTAATGTCAAATACTAATATTCTTTATATTATCAACTCCTTAAATAATATTTGGTAAAAAAAACTAGTTACATAATAATTTTATCTCACAATTTCTCACAACATTTATTTATTTACGTATAATCCTTATTAACACGTAAAATTATGAGATTTTAATATAAAATAAGATTTTGAATGATTCATTTTTATTTAAGTATATAAAAATTATTTTTTCACTAGATCTAAAATTACTTATGGTTTTTTTTTTTTATGTTGGTTACATAACAAAAGATAATTTTCTCACATCTTTTATCTTATCTTACTTGCATGCCATGCGATTTAAATTTAAAAATTTTTATTTTCAACGAAAACAATTACTAATAAATTATTTAGATCATTGACAAAATTACTTACAAATCTTAAATCTTCATAAATGTGTGTTTGATATTTAGAATTTTCCTCTACTTTTTTACAACTCTTTTTTTTGGCCAACTGCAACAATTTAGTATTTATACCCCGTAATACTACGCCAAATAACAGATTCATTTCAACCTCATTTTTCAGACACTTTCCGAAAAGTAAGTGACCAAGTGAGGCAATAAAGTCTGTATGGACACATCGGAAAGATTATATTACTGATAAAAAAATATTAAGCTTGTTGACACAGAAATTCAAGTGTTCATCAAAAGTGAAGTCAATTGTAATTATCTTGAAGTAAACTAAATTTTTACAATTAATTAAGAAAAAAAGGTGTGCGAAAGAAAAGAATGAGAACTTGCAGGCGAGTTTCCCCTGCAACTTCTATAAACGAATTAAAAAGGGGATAGAAATTAAGGGTTAACTTGCAATCAAAAAAATATGCAAGGACTCAGATCACGACAATGAAAAGTTTAGAAGCTTTTTTAGAGGTTTTGCTTTTTTATTTGGGCCTATTGTCATTTGCGAATTGGACCTGAGCCTAGCTGACTAGTACTGGTTCATAAATATTTCTTAGGCGCCCAGCTGGGCCGGAGAGAATAATATTATTCCCTGCCGGCGGCCGGCCTGAAGCATGGTCGCTCATCTGCTTAAGCAGAGCCGGAGCTTTGTGGACGCGAAGCGGCGAAGGTCAAGTTGGTTTGTGACCCATACCTAGACTACTTCCTTAAAAGAGAGAAGGACCCTTTCCCTCAAAAACCAAATCCCACCTCCCGTGCCACCACCACCGCCGCCGTTGCCGCCGCCGCCAGACTTTTCAGGAAATACCCATCCTTTTTCTCACAATTCCAGCCCTCTCCCTTCCTCTCTCTCCAAGTCATGCTCACCTCAAGCAATGATCCTCTACAAAGAAGAATTAGCCAGTCACAGCTCGACGTCTCACCGGAATGACGCGATCATGAGGCTGATGAAATTTTTCACAGGTTCAAGCGTGATCTGGGTGTTCTTCATAATTACATTACATTTTTTTGCATCTGATTATCCTGATTACTTCCACAGTTGTGAAAATCAATACTTTTAGGCGAAAACCTCGTTTGTGTCTGAAATGGAAATGAGAGTCTCTGCTGGGAATGGCTTGGACATTGAGAAAGGAATGCCCATAAGGTGTCTTATGCAATTACCAAGGGGGTTGTTTTTTACGCAATTATCAAGAGGGTTTTATTTGGAGAGAAAGGTCAAGAATTGGGTTGATGAATTGACGAGGCTTTTGGTGTCAAAGAAGATAGGGAGAATCTGTTTTGTTTGGGAGAGTACCTAGTTTTTCAGGATAGGTTTAAGAAGGCATTGAGGCACCATCCTGGGATTTTTTACATTTTGAATAAGATTTGAACGAAGACTGGTGTGCTTAGGGAGGCCTATGTGAAGGATTTGTTGGTGGAGAAAAGCATCTATGCATTAATGGGGATGAGGTATGGGTACATTCATCTTGTGAACAAGGCCAAGAAATGGAGAAGCCATTGTAGTGTTTTAGCATATAGGAATAAAAGACAGGCAATGCCTTCTGTTCAGAAAAGGGGAGCTAAAGAGGGATCTGATGGTAGCTTGGGGGAGAAAAGAGAGCCTGGTCAATCATCGGATTTGGAGGTTGAAAATGTTGCCGATGACAAGGGAATGCAAACAGAGATATAGACAGACAAGGTGAATTACAAGGTGGTTACCCTTGTCATGGTTCTACTAAAGTGAGTACATGTAACATTTGCTTCTGCAAATTCTCTATGCTGTTCTTGGGACTTGCACTGTTGTGTTTCATAGTCAAGGCTTTTGCAAATGCACCTGAATTGTTGCCTGGTAGTAGTAATAGAAGATTTAGAAGCACAGGTTGAGATAAGAAATTTGAGAACCTTGCTTGAATTTGCATGGTAATGAATTTGAACTTTACCTCTAGGGGACTGAAGGCATACAAACTGGACATAATCTGCAAAGCCAGTTTAGTAGCTTGGAATTTTAATTGATTTGGAATTTGATGATGTTGCATTGTTGCTAACTTGCTATTGAGGAAGCTGTCAGATGGAGACATGAATGGAGGAAACAAGAAAAGCTGATTTCTATTTGACAAAGCTTCTATATAAATGAGTTATCATGACACAAATTTCCGACATACAATGGGAAGAATGAAAAAAAAAAAAAAAATGAAGTGTTTTTAATCTGTTGAGAAGTAATTAGCAGCTGACAATTGCTGGGAATAGAAACCAAAATCTGAAGAGACATCAATTCGACAGTAAGACTATATATTACAGCATATTTTGTGGACGGATGACATCAAAGGCAGTAAAACATAACTAATAAAGAAACCAAAAACATGTAGATAAGCAAAGCCTTTTGATTGCTTTCCAGAAGTTCTACCTTTCTAGTATCTAGAAATTGCTCAAACTTTTCATATGGCTTTTAGGATGGTGAATTCACTTGATATCTTGGTCTCTTAAGTTCTTAAACATTTTAGTCTGGCAAATTATGTACAGAAGCATCCTTTCTTATCAATAAAAAGAATTCTTGAGATTGCAATTGGATCAACTTAATTGTGTCTCTGATGCTTATAACTTGATCCGTTTGCTTGCTGTCTCAATCATTTACTTCAGATGATATCATGATGAACATGCAAGATTAACATTGTCAAAACTGCTACGAGCAGGCTTTTGCTTGATGTTAATGTTGGAGTTGTGGTGTCAAAGCTGCACCAAGAGTAGCAAATGAAAAGAAGTCCAAGCTACACCACGAGCAGCAAATGAAGCAGGGAGAGCTGCACCAAAGCACGGTAGCAGCAAAGTGCAGCAAGCTAAGCTGCAAATGTTGTTGAAATGAGGATGCAAAGGCTGCAAAGTGGCTGCAAAGTTACAGCAACATGGAGCCGCACAAATGGCAGCAAATCTTTGAATGTAATTTTGCATTAAATGTTTGGTAGATTTTCTTGTATTAGACAAAGATTAAGTGAGAAAATTAATGTTGATGTATTAGGAGATTTCTGCTATATAAGGGCAGAAAATGAACCAAAAAAAAAAAAAAGGGTTCGACCTCGCCAAAGGAGGTAACTCCACGGTGTTTCTCTCCTTCTCCTCCAAGTCCTCTCAAAACCCCCTTCTTACCACCAAAAAATCTAACAGTTAAATACAAAGCAGTGGACAAGTGCCTGGAAACAGTAGAAAACACATGGATGTTAGAAGTGCTGTTTTGCATTGTAACTCTCCTCAATTAAAGTGGTAGGTGTACTTAATAGTTGGTTGGGGTTTGAGATTTGATACTTGGATTACAAAATGCATTTGGAAGAAAATTGTGCAGATACGTCAACTCTCCAGCAAACATTCATTAAATGTAATTCTCTGTACTGTTGAGGGGATACTAATTGTTGATGCACAAAATAGCTCGAATGAAGAATAGTACACCACGGCAGCAACCACAACAGCTCCAACCAGAATACCTTCAAGCCCTGGGGTTGTACCTCAGGGTAGACACTGGATGCCCAAATCAGTACATAGAGGATATTATGCAATAAAGGGCTGATATGTTAACAAAGCTAAAGAAGCAATAAATCTAATTAAAAAGCGGTGGTTGGAGGTATTTATAACCATCCAAAGTTGCTTTCCATGTGGTAAATCCCTATTCATCAATCTTGAAGCGATAGGCTGTAGCTCTACGGGGTCCATGGGGTGGATACTCTCCTGTGTCAGAGCATTTAATATGATACAAGTGACATGTCATCTAGCAGGACTGAGGGTGACCAAAGAGCAGTGGTGTTATTCTGGTAGGCCATTCATATTGGGTGCTCGATCGTCCATCCGATGACCATGTTCGGACTGGTCCCTCACACTAAGCAATGTAATCCTTTGTTTTTTTTTTTTTTTACAATAAAAATAATTAAAAATTAAAAATTAAGTTAGTACCTGTTAATAGTAAAATTTGATTATTGATTAAGAGTGCAACCCAACAACAACCTATTAAGTTGCAATGATCACTAATAAACCATAACAGAAAAATGGTAATTCCTCTTTTTATTTAAGCTGCACTTGTAAGAAAAATCACAAGCAGAAATGAATGAAAGAGGCTGGAAAAACGAAAATCCACACCTATATTTTTCATCAAAACCTTTTTAATAATCTGAGTTCTTGTTCTTTATTCCTCTTCATCCAAAAATCCATCAATGGAAAACTCAGTTTGAAGAAACACTGTGTGTTTAGGAATAACTTATTCGTGGAAATAAAATAAAATCAGAAAAGGACATAACCAGTGGACCAAAGAAAACTACTGAACACCAGGACATGTTCCACACCCACCGTGATCAAAGGACAGCCTTCAAAAATCAGAAAACCCCCAAAATATTCTGAAAATTATGAAACTCTAGAGAGAGAGATAACGAGAATAGAGACATCCACTTGTCGGTAGCTTGCATTTTTCTTTCATTCTCTCAATGCTTATCACCAGAATTTACAAATATCACAACTACTTATCAATGATTCCATATCTCACACGTATGTGGATCACTTATCAAGACACAACACATCAGGATGACTCACCGTCACCGACACCGACCACTGATGCCACTTCCACCACATGTTCATGTACTACTCCTCGTGGCCAACTCAGCAGTACCCCACGTTCCCATTACCTATCCGGTGCAACATTCATTTCTTTGGCATGTGTTGGCAAATTGGTCCCACGTGAAGGTCCCCATGTTGACTCTTAGGGATTAAAGTAGAATAAGAACTCAATAAAATTACATTACTAAACATGCATTATTAGTCATTGCATTTCTTTGAAAGTTAGAGTATTAACTTGAATCACATTACTCATATTGGTACGTCAAGATGTAATCTACATTACCTAAAGTCAGAGATTGATGATGAGAGTCAGAAAAGGAATCCTTTTCTTTATATAACTTATCAATAAAAGCGGGTTGAATTTGAGTGTCATGTTATTTTTTATTGGGCTGCAATTATTGTGAAATGTGAATCCAAGACAAGATGAAGTGATTAACTTTGAAATTCTGAAAAGCTCTCCTCCTATTGAAGTATGTGCTTTCTACCATTTAACATGAGATGAAACTTAAAAATGTCTTTGTAGAGAGGATTGTACCAAAATCAAAACAAAAGGAAAGTGGAAAAATTATTTTTCCTTCTGTCTCTGTCCTCTTCTCCTTGTAAAGAATCTCCTGGTAAGATCTGAGAGAGTCATTAATAATACAAGATATAAGGTTGTGTTTGGAGTCATTTGCTTACAGTACTTATTTCCATGATACCTTATAAGAGTGTTAATTTATAATGATTAAATTAATTTTAATTGATATTTTATATAATTTTATGATTATAATAATGTATACAACTTTTTTAAAAACAATAACATAATTTTTTTTTATAATTAAATATTAAAAAATCCACAACTACTGGCAGTAATCCCCAAGACAACCCAAGTAATTTGCTTAAATGGGTTATGAAGTATGAAAAGAGCTGGATGAGATTCAAACTTGATCTTCATTTCTCTGGGTGGTAGGTGAGAAAGAAAACAGCACGCTTTTCATGAGCCCTATTATTTTTTAATTTGGTTGGTAGTAAGATTTTACACCCTTGATATAATCTCTTTTTCCTCGTAAAAAGTTTGAGTCTTTATAAACCACATCATAGTGTTTGGAGTTCACCAAAAACATTATCATAAGTAGTAGAAAAAAAACCAGAGGAAATATGGATGACATTCAATGGCTTCCTTCTTCTTCATCCTCGAGAACCCAGCCTGTGCTGTCTTTGAACCATGTTTCATTTGTGTGCAAGTCTGTGGCCAAATCTGCGAGGTTCTATGAAGATGTGTTGGGGTTTGTCCTCATCAAACGCCCTTCTTCTTTCAACTTTGAAGGAGCATGGTATGCCTTCTGTCTCTATTTTTCTGTTGTTATGAATCATGAGGAAAGATTGAATTTTGAATGGTTCTGACTTCTGAGTTCAAATTCTTCAGGTTGTTCAACTATGGTGTTGGAATCCATTTGTTGGAATCTGACAATGCTCCAACAAAGAAAGAGAAGATCAACCCCAAAGATAATCACATTTCTTTCCAGTGCTCTGATATGGACCTGGTTATCCAGAAACTGGAGGACATGAACATTGATTATATAACTGCAGTGGTGGAGGAAGGTGGCATTAAGGTTGATCAGCTGTTCTTCCATGATCCTGATGGATACATGGTAGAGATCTGCAACTGTCAAAACCTTCCAGTTCTTCCACTTTCCTCATGCCCTCTTAAGCTTCCTAGTTCCAGCACTAACAATGCAGTTTCTTCATTTTATGGTAGGCCTTTTTCTCTATAATCAGGATTATTTTTTCCTAACATGGACGAACTTTATTATGGTACTAAGCTTTGCGAGGGAAAATGCAGGGAAGCCAAGCTTGGAGATGCAGTGTTCTGCAGAAGTTGCTGCTCTGATGATGGAGAACTTGGCGGTGGATATGATGGATATATCAATCTGAGAGATTGCCAAGGGGATTTTTGTTGTGATTTAGTGAATGTATCCTGAAAATTTGTGTACAATGTCTGTGCAAAGAGGGGATGAGAGGTTTTGGTCTTGTAAGAAACACAGCTGGTAGGGATTTGTTTTTCAAGTTACCTAGATCTGATCATGCACTGCTTAATAAAATTTTCCCCTTGTATGTCAATCAAGTATGTTCAAAAAATCAAACTTATTATTCATAAGACTGATATTGTACAATTATACAACGTAATCGCCGCGTTAACACTAAGACTTCTACCTTCTCTGTAGTCTGTCCTGAAAATATCCACATTACAAAGTTACAATTGTGGATGCAACAATTAGAGCTGTGGAATGGTTGTGGATAATGATTACTGGATTAGGCATTAGAATAGCATCATCTCTGATTCAGGAAACCTGAGGAGATGACCACAAAAACATCATCAAGAGACCATTTTTGTTGTTCTGATTTATTTGGAGGGTTAATTATGGCATGATCAGTGTTTGCAAGTCGATAACCAATAACAATTTCTTGTCTTTGGCGACCTCGGGTCATTATATCATAGAAACAGAGCTCTTCCTGGTCAAAAAGGTAGAATTCTGCCGGTTTGATACACATCTCATTTCCCTGCAGAAAGGAATGAGTTTAATTCTTACTCAGAAGTTGAAAGGAATAACAGAAACAAAAGGATAGAAAAGTAAGAAACGTTTTTGTGAGGATGGGGATTAACGGTACCTGCTCTGCAAATAGTTCCTCAAGAACACGGTTAATTTGCTTGTCTTCAGCCACCATTGCTAAAGCCATACTTACCAACTCATTTGATAGCACATAATCACTGATTCTGGATACAGATACCAGATTTCTTGTCCTGGAATCAAGAATTTCACTAATGATTATTGACTTGTCTGAAGCTTGCTGCATTTCCCGAATCCAAGAACTGTGAGAAAATCCAGAGAGCCGTAAAGAATTTGATTTTGTATCTCTATAAGGGAGACGTTTTGACTGCAATTAAGTTCCAGCCACCGTTAGAAATTTGATATATAAGGTATATAGTGCTGCTTCTAGAACTTTTTGATGCAACCGATTTTAGGCAATTCCAAATGATGTAACTACCAGTGATAGGGAGGACAAAAATGTAAGACCTTGGTAATCAAAGGTGTCAATTTGCTAAGCCACATGAATTAAGCATAACCTGACTAGGATATACCTGTATGTCTCGAATAAGGAGCAGGGTGGCAAGAGATCTTGAGTCAGAATGCACAACAGAATCCTCTACTGACTCATCTGCAAGAATTAGTATCTGTCCATTTAGAGTTATGAATCAGCAACCTTCAATTGGGAGTGAAGAACGAGTCAACAGCTGCTTTGGCATCTCTGTGTGTGTGTGTGTGTGTCTGAAAAAGAGAGAGAGAGAGAGAGAGAGAACTCACAGAATCAAAAATCTCCAGAGGAAGACTCTCTAAATGGCGCTTGATGACAGCATTCCCTACGCGGTGGACAAGTTTTATGTTCACTAATCCAGAAATTTCTAGTCCACCATCAATCAGCTTCTTCTCTCTTTCTTTTTCTGGAACCTCATTAAACATCCACAGCTCTGAACCTGGTGCAAGGAATGCCTCTAGCACCTGAAAGCAGAAATATGGATCATTAATGAGCAGGAGATCAATTGTGAAGGAATGTCTGGAAATTCAATCTATCATCTCTTTAAGTCTTTTCTAATGTATTTAAACAAAAGTCCAGTTCTAAAGTAAAAATAAAAATGTGACAAAATGTGTGAGACATTGATACCCTTACCATTATCATGTCATCAATATCACGGCGCCAGCCACAAAATAGTATCTTCTCTGGATATTTTGGAGGATCAGCTAAATTTGGACAACAACCCAGGCATACCTGCACACAGAATGCAGCATACATTTTTATAAAAAGGAAAAACTGAAAACAACCCTTCTATCACAAACAAATTGATGGAAGTTAGAGACAACACATCCATTGTTATTGTTGTTGTCATCAAGCATTAGTTTAACTGCAACTTAGCATTTAAACTAAAGATGATGAAGTTATCAATATGATCATAAGAGATGGTAGAAGAACAAATTTGGAATTCTCGAGCCGAAAAATCTCAAATTTTAATAATCCTACCACTTGAACTTTTGTGCTACAAAGATAAAGAAGAAAGATGACCTCTGGAAGGGGACCTGGAGCATAAGTGTCATCATCCTCAGCTATAACCAGGATTTCATCCCCTTCTCTTAATACATAATTATCATCTGGATTTAACATTATCTTTATCTTCCCACCATCTGTAGTAACCTTAATTCCACAAGGAACTGCATCAGGAAATGAAAGAAGCACATCGCCAAAACGCTGACCATCCAATTGTGGCCATCTCTTGATGTAAAACTCACAATTCTCAAAACCCAAAATATCCTCCCATATCTGACCACACAAAAAGGAGAATCAATCAACATTTAAATGAAGGGGAGCAGGGAGGGAAAATAATTTTTTCTAGACCAAAAAAGTATAAATCAAGTCTATCTGGATGTCCAAAAGCTTGAATTATGAAAAGAAGTATAAGAAGAGCCACTCCGTGAAAGAAGGGACTATTTTTGCCAAGAATTACGGAAATGCAATTTAACTAACCTGAGCAAGGCCAGGTTGCAAAGCGCACTGAATCATCAAGCGCCCAATCACATCATGTGCCACAACTGTTTCAACAAGCTCTCCTCCAACAAGCTTCACTAGAGGCTCATTGTCAAGATCACTCATCTCTACCACAGCATGACCCCCCATCCCTTCTTTTACTCCATTTAGGCTAAGTACAACCCTCAAGGCACGTGCATCACTCTAGTAACAGAAATAGAGAACAATTAAAAGTGTCACAACAAAAATGATAAATTACCATGAAGCATGGTAATACAATAAGAGCAACCTGATCTGCATTTTCATCAGACGCTAATACAATAATAGCACGAGCCTTTGATACTGAAACCTGTAAATTAGAACCAAAGTCAATCCAGATGCAGCTAGGGGAAAATATTGAAGAGATAAAGGAAACATATGTAACAACCAACTGAATGCTCTTAAGGGCATGTCAAACATCCAGGAAAAACAAGAAATAATATTAAATTAAAGATACAAACTTACCTTCTTTAGATCAGCCAGTATTAAAGGACTGCCACTCCTGCATATAACAGATGTCCCCATAAAGTCAAATTCTAGCGTTGCTATTTCCATCTCCATTTCCTCCTTGTCTCTTTCAGCAAGCACAACTACTACACCACCACCAATACTTTTGTTGGCTATTGCTAGTTGCTTTAACAGTGAACCCTACAACAAAAAATCATTTCTTTTACTCCATTTCTATCTTAAAACTCTTCATTTTCAGACCTTTGACCTCTTACAATATGCAAATCGTTACAAAGATTTAGAATCACCTCAAACTAAATTCAATGTAATCAACATGTGAAAGATATCTCTTCTCAAGATGCTTACCAATTTATCACTCCATCCAAGAATTAGTATATGGTTCTTTTCAATGACTTCACTCTTCCCTTTCCGCAGTGAATCAACCTTCTCTGAGATGGCATCTGAGACAAGCCCAAGCATCATTGCAAATATGAGCATGCCTCCTGCACTTATTGAGACAGAAACAATCCTTGGTCCAGTTCCAACTCTATCAGCATGATTTCCAGAGTCAGCCACAAAAGTCCATGAAAGCCAAAGCGCTTCAGCTAAGCTACCATCACTAACTGCATACAATGCTAGGCCACCAAATCCTATAAGAAATATAGTGGCAAAAAGCAGTGCAAGCAACTTTGCATATGGGTATACAGAGAAACTAACATCCACCATATATGCAACTCTCTTCTTTAAGGGAACCCCTTCCTTGTCAGACTTTGTTATTTTTGAGAGAGATTTTATTTTTGGAAGATAATCAAGATATTTGTACAATAGAAAAGGCATAATAAGAGTGAAGACCACAGTACATAGAGCAATAGTTCTACTGTCAGTATCATCAAATGACAGCAATGAAGGATCATCCTGAGTCAGCAAAACTTCAATGTTGTTGCCAGCACCAACAAAAAAATCTTTATCATTACAACATTTGCGAAGGTTAATGTTCTCTTCCTGCAAGCAAAATGACCATAATTATGAAAAGATAGTCAAACTTCTAAATCAAATTACTAATGACAGGAAAAAGAAAAATGCATAATTGAAGGAAAACCCTCAGATTCTTATCTGGCAAATGCCTGCTTAAGAAACATACAAACTAAAAACTCACACAATTTATTTTCAGCTAAATTTACTAACAAACAAAGCCAAGGGTCACAAAGTTCAAAAATTTTCCATTCCTTTCCTCTATCAAAGAAACAAAATCAAAGTCAAATTCTCTGAATTTTTTGATTTGGAAAATACTAAAAAGGCAGTTGACTGAAAGTAAAAGGCAAAATAGTAGCATTTGGTTCCATCCTTTCCACCAAATAAGCAAAATTTTACCTTTTCAGCACAGCTAACAAGGTTCCTAATAGATCAAAGACAATTCATTACCATAACATTACAAAAAGAAAATATACACATACCTCTAGCCTCAAAACTTTATTGCGTAAGTAAAATGAATAACATACAGAGAGTACACAAATAAAAATGACCTGCAATAGAACCCAAAAAAAAAAAGGAAAAAAAAAAAAACCATTAGAAACAAAATATTGAAACTTAAAACATTTAAAGACAAAACATAATACACAGAAATTATACCAGTTTCCTTTATCTCCTGGCCTATGCATTTTTTAAATTATAAATTACCGTTTTTATATTTCCTGCCTATTCTCTAACTCAAACTTGAAAAAATTTCTGCTTCAAATGATTTAAAAGCTCAAATATTTGCAATTGTTATGTTTCTATTTTTAGTGAGACTCTCTTTCTTCTCCCTAGCAAGTAGCAAAATTGCAAAGAATGGAGCTTTAAATTTTCTTCCAAAGCCATACCAAGTAAAAGATGAAGGAACGTTTCAATTTCGATTGGAGAGTTCTCCCCGTGCTGGTCTGACTCAGTGCTCTTGAATTATTAGTCACCAAAACTTGACTCCCCACATTCCTCACTTCCTCCTCTTTAGTTGCCCCAGGCCGCTGCTTTTCAAGAATCTCATCCACCTGCTTGCCCTGCTCCCCGCCTGCTACTCTTCCGCCACCTCTGCTCAGCGACTTTGACTGCTTCACTGTAACCATTTGATTCCTAGCGGGATGTGGCCCAAGAAACGACGGGTAAACCCAATCCCTTTCCGATGCGCTATCGCCATCAAAGTTGCTAAGACTATTACCATTGCTGCTGCTTCTGGTACTACTTTGCCTTACGGACGCATCTGGATCGTGGCGTTCGGGGGACGGAGGAAGCGAAGAGATACGACGAACGGCGGGGAACAGGGGACCGGGGAAGTGTGGTGTGGAACATTCGTCGTCCGATGTTATGGTTCTCGACTTCTTCAGCAGCGGTGGCCTCTCCGACTTCATAGGACTAGGATTCCGCAGCGCCGTCACAGACTCTTCGGCGTTACCGCTCCTCCTCATTGCTTCTCAAGATACCCAGAACATAGAATCTCCGAAATCAGCTTTCCGGAAAGAGGAATTTGAAAAATCAAAGCTCCCAAACCCATTGAAAAAAGGATCGAAGAAATTGAAAATATGTTTCAGCTCAAAAAGCTGCTTCACCAGTGCGCAGCTGCTGCTTCAGCTTGTCTTTTTCCGAGTCAAATTGTTCTCTACTGATAAGAACAATATTATTAGAATGTTAGTTGGATCTGGACGATTGATGGGTGGGACGGGTGGGTCCGGTGGTGGAGCCGACGGTGTGGAGACTGGCGCAGCGGCCAATCAGCTTTTATGGTTCTTAGTTTTCTGTTTTTCAGTTGTAAGTGGCGGGTAAAGGTATGATCTTTGCTCCGTTACAAAAAGGGTAATATCCAAGAAATTGAGAATTTCCGTAAGGTCTGGCATCTACCCAAAATTGGATTCAAGTCCCACCTCTTCTTTATTTTACTTTGTATCCAAAAAAAAAAATGGTCCCAACTCTTCTTTTATTGTAGGAGTAAAAATTTTTAAGATTTTGATTTCATTTTTTTATTTACAGTTATGGTTTATGGTTTTCTTTGGAGCGTCTTAAAAGCACATCCCTGATTGGCTTGGTGCTGGTGCATAAGTTTTGATCCCAATTTAATGAATGTTATAAAACGTCAACCGGCCATGTGGTCCAATTGGTTGGCCCCCAAGCTTTAGGGCTTGGGTGAGACGGAGGTAAGAGCTTCGAGCTCTGCCACCGTCGTAAATTCCACCAATTTGTGACTTAATGGTCGCGCGCCTCAAATGAGGGGGTGGAATGTTCATTTT